TAAACATTCGCATTTTCTTTCACCACTTTTGCACTGAATTTCTCTTATTCTCTGCTACTGTCCTTAGAATTTTTACTCCATTTTCGGCTTAACTCATAATAAATTAAGCCCAATACTTGATCAACAAGTCCAAACAAACATATAATTCGTGATTATCGATATTTAAATTAATGTGTAAATATTGGTTTAAAATTTGAATCGTTATAATAATATCTCTATAAAATTCAAAAATTATCCATAGACCTTTCAAATGCATGGATACTATAAGGCTGTAAATGGACAAGATCATCGGTGAATTCTTAATATCTTGGTTGACTAATAATTTTTAAAAATTTGTTAATACATATTCTTAAAAGAAATTAGGATTATTTATGATTAAATTTTAGATTTTTTTATTATAAACGTTCAACATATTAAAAAGTGTCTTAGATAATTATAAAAATTTGTGAGTTATAAAAATTTATTTGATACACCTTTACTTTTAATTATTATTTTAATTGTTTTTTAATAGTTCAACCTGAAATCGTATTTATGTATTGATTTCTTAAGTAGATCAGTTTATAGGACTTTTCCGAACAATGGCCAAACCCTTGCAAAAAGGAGTAAAGGACCTTGCTTCAAACAAAAATAAGGAATTGAAGGCTGAGGCTGGCAGGCAACCCTGCCCGAGCCGCCATGAATGTGCAGTTAATGAGGAGGGTAAGGAGAGCTACTCTCACTTCCGTCTCCACCAGAAGGTGGTGCTTTGCTCTAAGGCTGCGGCTCCACCTTCGGAGTGCCTTAATAGCCTGGTGGGTGGTGATTCTTGCTAGGTGGGTTCTGGCAGCAGTAGGTTATGTGGCTAATCGTACTGCTGCTTTACCATGTGTGTTCATTACGGCTGGTTTTTGTTTTCATTTGTAGCTTTTTGTATTATTTCAGGTTAGATGTTTCATTGTTGTCTTCTGTATCTCATGCAGTGTTATATCTCAGGATTTAGTTATTGGTTTTCTATTTCTTCCACCTCATGGTTTACTCTTTTTCTTTCAATAGGTTTAGGAAAGTTTTTTAATGAGGTTCATGGGATGGTATTATCATTATTAATACAAAGTACTCATCTTTCAAAAAAAAAGATCTACACCCAAGTGACAATGACACTTGAATCCAAATTTTCTTCGGGTAATTACTTGTGTCGCAACCGTCTTTCGGTTGGGCCCCGGAATTGGGCTTCGACTTAGGTAAATGGATTGATTGGAGTCGCCACCGACCACTTTAAAACGAATTCAGGTGGGTCGGACACCATCTTACCTGATCTACGTTGTACCAAAAACGTGTCGGGCTCGGGAGTCGGTTACGGTCAAGGAAGGATTAGCACCCTTGAATCGCCCTTTCGGTACCAATTAATTTGTCGGTTGTCTTTATAGCAAAAACTAGACATTTAAATTAAAATTTAAAAAATTCGATTCAAATTACTTACCTTTGATTTGTTGGAATTTATCTACAAAATTAAAAATGTTAGTGAAGACAAATGAAAGAAATTTTTAATAAAAATAGATATAAAAAATATTAAATAAAAATGAAATAAAGAAATAGTAAGAGGTAAATAATAATAAATATAAAAAAGATAAAAACAAATGTACGAAATTGGAAATAAAAAATGAAAAGAAATGAATAAATAAATAAAAGGGACCAATTTGAAAGGAAATGTAATTAGGGGACAATATTCGAATTAAATGGGTGAACGTAAATTGAAACAAAATACGGGGGACCCGAAACGGGATTAACCCGCAGATAAAAATGCAAAACCCCCCCTCTTCAAAACGACGTCGCATGGGGGGTATATATCTACCAAAAACGGCCCAGAACCCCTCCCCTGTTCTCATTTCTCACCCGGGTCTCTCTCTCAAACGAGAGAACTGGAACTCTCTCTGGCCTCTCTCCTCAAGGCGATTTCCGGCCGCCCCTCCGGTGGCCCCTCGTTGCTCCGACCGCCGTCTCGGCCGCCGCTCGCGTCGGCCGAAAAACCAAGACTCACCCCAAACGCTCGTCTCACTGTCCCCAACCCGAAACTGAAACCTAAACACTCAAGAAATCCCCCCACCGGCGTAGATCTACGCTTAAAGCTTCGTCTTTTGCTTTTCTCGTCGGTGGCTTTTCGACTTCCAGCGTGATCTGGTTATTTACTAGTTTTGCTCTCCTTGCATGTGGGTTTTGAAATGTTTTTTTTTTGTTTCGTCTTTGGTTGGTTTCGTAGTTTTTCGTGGGTACTGTTGTTGTTGGCTTTCTGTGGGTTATGTGTGGTGGTTGATGTTTACCGTGTTCGGTATTGTGGATTCTCTGTCTCGGTTTACTGTTTCTGTTGATGATCTTTGTTCTCTGTTTGGGTATTGATGATGTCCTCCCCCCGTGGGTACCGTCGATTTGGTATTTATAGGCCTTCATCGGCCGTTTTCCTGTTCCGAAATACGGGGCTGGTGGCCGTTGAGGGTTGACCGGCTAAAACGGGATGGGTCAGTCCCGATTTAGCCGGGGCTGGTTGCTTCGTGACCGGATTTTGGCCGGTTTTCTCGCCTGGCTGTGCGTGCCTTGTTCCTCCCTCGTGCGGCGCAATGCTTGACCGAGTAAACCCTAACTTGTAGGGTTTGGGCTGGTTCAGGCCCCAAACATATTGGACCCGAACAGTGGACTTCTCACCCAATCTTTGGACCTGGACCATAAACAGAATAAATGAAATTAAATGAATAAAGTGAATAAAATGAAAAGAAATAATACTAATAATAATATAGACTATATAATATATATATCCCAAAAAATATTTTTTAAACTATATATTATATTTAAAAATGTTTTCAAAACTATATACCATATAGTTTTCAAAAATGATTTTTAAAAATATTATATGAGTTTTCCAAAATATTTTTAAAACTATATATTATATAAAATTTTCAAAAATGTTTTTATTTTAAACTATACATTATATTTTTAAAATGATTTTCAAAAATATATGTTATATAATTTTCAAAATGTTTTTAAAACTTATATATTGTATATAAGTTTTCAAAAACGTTTTTTTAAAAAAAACTATATTATATATATTTTCAGAAACCATTTTTTGTAAACTATATGTTATATTTTTCAAAAACACTTTCAAAAATTATACTATATCGTATATATGCCTATAATAAATAAAATAAAAACTCAAATTCGGGTGAAAATGAGTGTCTACAGCTGCCCCTCTTTGTCCTTTTTCGTGGAACGAAGAATAGGACAAAGATAAAAAGACACAAATTTTCGCTCGGTAGAGTTGAAGAATAACTCCCTGTCGATTTGGGTTGCAGATGGCTCCTTCGTTGTGAAGTCGAGTCCACCTTGAAATGATATAGAATTGAAGCCGCAGTTCGGGATTTGAATCGGAATGTGGCTTCTCGTTGTAGTGTGCCTCGGTCTTTTCCTCGGTTTAAAGACTCTGGTTGGAAATTCGACTGGAAAGTAGTTCATTGACTCTATCATGTGGTTGATAGGCCCTCGGGCTGAATGAAACCGAACCCGAAAGGTCTTCGCTGACAGATAGCTTTCCTCGACCTAAGCTATGTTACCGGAAAAACGGCTTATTGTCACTAAGACACGGTTAACCCAGGTCTTCTTCTCGACTTGAAAACCTCGATTGTAGCCGAACAGTAGTGTGATTGAGGTGTCATTGAGCTGAATGGAGCCGAACTCGACCTTTTATTGACAGATAGCCCTTCTTGCCTGGAGCTATCATGTAAGCTTGATGTGCCTCTAAGTTGAATATAATCGAACTCAAATGTCTTTAGCAGATAGCCCTTCTCGACTTAAGCTATGCTGCAAATGTTGTGCTTTGGAGCTGAGCCTAGTCGAACTCAAAGGTCTTTGGTTGGCAGATACTCCTTCTTTGAGTTGGATATCCCTCGTCGTGAAGTTGAAATCCAATCTAGAGATTGATGTTGCTTGTGTGCACGATTCCCTTCGTCATGAAGTTGAAACCGCGGGTGACCCTTCGTCGTTAAGCTGAGCAAAGAAATTGGATATCCTTCGTCGTGAAGTTGAAATCCAAGTAAGTTGTATTGTTCCAAGTCCAATATCCTCCGTCGTGAAGTTGAAATTGGTTTTGGAACTGGGAAATTGTTTGTTGACAACCAGTCGTCCCTTCGTCGTGAAGTTGAACTTGCGTTGTCTCGAGTCCAATATCCTTCGTTGTGAAGTTGAAATTGGCTCTGAAATTGAGAAATTGTTTGTTGACAACCAGCGGTCCCTTCGTCGTGAAGTTGAACTTGCGTTGTCTCGAGTCCAATATCCTTCGTTGTGAAGTTGAAATTGGTTCTGAAATTGAGAAATTGTTTGTTGACAACCAGCGGTCCCTTCGTCGTGAAGTTGAACTTGCGTTGTCTCGAGTCCAATATCCTTCGTTGTGAAGTTGAAATTGGCTCTGAAATTGAGAAATTGTTTGTTGACAACCAGCGGTCCTTCGTCGTGAAGTTGAACTTGCGTTGTCTGGAGTCCAATATCCTTCGTTGTGAAGTTGAAATTGGCTCTGAAATTGAGAAATTGTTTGTTGACAACCAGCGGTCCCTTCGTCGTGAAGTTGAACTTGCGTTGTCTGGAGTCCAATATCCTTCGTTGTGAAGTTGAAATTGGTTCTGAAATTGAGAAATTGTTTGTTGACAACCAGCGGTCCCTTCGTCGTGAAGTTGAACTTGCGTTGTCTCGAGTCCAATATCTTTCGTTGTGAAGTTGAAATTGGCTCTGAAATTGAGAAATTGTTTGTTGACAACCAGCGGTCCCTTCGTCGTGAAGTTGAACTTGCGTTGTCTCGAGTCTAATATCCTTCGCTGTGAAGTTGAAATTGGCTCTGAAATTGAGAAATTGTTTGTTGACAACCAGCGGTCCCTTCGTCGTGAAGTTGAACTTGCGTTGTCTCGAGTCTAATATCCTTCGCTGTGAAGTTGAAATTGACTCTGAATGAATTTGACAATCAGCCGCCCCTTTGTCGTGAAGTTGAGCTTGTGTTGTCTTGGGTCCAATATCCTTCGCTGAGAAGTTGAAATTGGCTCTGAAATTGGGAAGTTGTTTATTGACAACCAGCAGTTCCTTCGTTGTGAAGTTGAACTTGCGTTGTCTTGAGTCCAATATCCTTCGTTGTGAAGTTGAAATTGGCTCTAAAGGCTGTAACAAATCATGTATGCTGAAAATGATGGATGTGATGCACCTAGGTATGTCTAAGATGCATGCAATCATGAATGAATTATGATTTATTTCTTGGATTGAAGTCCCGCGTCTTGCTTGCCAATCTGGTTTATGGAATTGATCGTGCCCCATTATCTTCTCGAGCTTTGGCTTTACAGACCTTTCAAATCTGAGACTACTCTGTTTGAAAAATGTTTTTCTCTTTTTTCTTGTTTTAGGAGAAAAATGTTGTAAGATATTGTTGGCAATTGACTCAAATTGTAAACGTGAGTTCAAAGACTATCAAAGGAATCAAGAGCTTTTTTAATACTTTTAGAGTCACAGCTCTTTGAAAAATGTTCAAATGGATGAGTTGGCCTTAGGTTGGCCTCCTTTCTAAAGTTTTGGTAACCCAAAATGTCATTTTTTAAATATCGAAATATGTTTTGGCATTTCATTTGGGTGCGGATATAATGACGCAACTAGAATGACCAATTACTAGACATTTTATTTCTGTCCTCTGAAATCTTCCATTTGTTCAAGCTTTGTAGGCTCCTCTAACGAAGGCAGTGCAAAAAATATCGGTCTAAAAATGAAATTCTTGAGTGCTCGTGTGTAGTCGACTATAACAGGTGTCCCTTAACTCCCTTAGTCCAACATTACCGAAAATTTCTTGCTCAGATAAATTTGATTTAATTTTTCATAGTTTGGCTAGCTGAATCCATAAAGTCAGGGCGTTTAACCAATTACTTTAGAGGGACAGCTTAACATTATAATCACTTTTATCAAGTTCACTGAAGGGTTCATCTCATCACAGAGTCTTCAGCCTGACAAGAGCAGTGGAGCAAACACCGAATTGCCAAGTGTCCGAGCAATGTCATGGTTTGAACGTAATCTACTCATAAGACCAGGGCTTTCAAGTTTCCTTTATAACCAATTGCCTTAGTGGAATAGCTCAGCTTTACGGATTTAATTTCTTAAGATTGTCAAGAAGAACCTGTTATAGCTTAGGTGTTTGTTGAAAGTCAAAAATTTCATCTTTAGAGTTCAATTTTCAAGCGACTGACCTAAACTAGATTCACATACTCGACTCTTTCATTTGTAAAGATCATCATCGTCATTGAACATCTTAAATAAAAAACATAGTAATTGTCATATGCAAATGATGCCCCATGTTGTCCGTACCTTATGAAAGGAAAATGTTGTATTAGTTAATTGTAAGAGCAGGGTACGGTGTTTGAGGGTATATTTTGGGTAAGGTCAAGTTCCTTGTTTTAAAACATGTTACTTTGTCAAAGATCCGTAACTTTGAACCATTCACAGAGTTTCTTAATTCAAATGATATTCAAAGAATTGCAAGTTTGCAAATGTGATCCATTGCTTAACATCTTTAAAGTAACATAAATTTATTTAAAAGTCCTTATAAAAACTTGAGAAAAAAAATGAAAAAAACAAATTCAAACAAAATGTCTCAAATGATGAAATGGTCTTCCTCACTTGGATGCCCCCAAGTTGTTGAAGTCGATCCGATTCTTGTTACGTATTTTCTGTATGATTCTCTTGATTGTGGAGTAATTCTCGATAGTGTGCCCTGGGACTCCGCTGCAATGAGCGTTCTCATCATACTACCTGGGGTACGGGCCTTCATGGATTTCTCTGGATATGGTGACACCACATGTGCGTCAAACAACTGTTGGTAAAGCTCCTTAAATGTCATAGGGTTGAAGTGTTCTCATTTTTTGATGAATCATGTGAAGATAGTTAATGTGAATGTAAAGAAATGAACAAAATGCAAAATATTTAAATGCATGAAGCATGAAATGTCCGAGGCATTGATCCGAAAAATGTGCCTATTATTCTGAATAATCCTTATTGGGGACAAAAATGTTACGTCTGAAGAGACAAAAAACTTTTTGATGGTATAGATCCCGCACAGCCTCTGGCAAGTTGATTCGTCTTCCGCTTCTTCACCGGTTGAATATCCTGTCGAACCGTTCCAGCTCCTTTGGCTAAACTTGTGCGGGTGACGAGTTGCTTGCCCCAAAAAAGATCTCGAATGACTGCATCTCCGGCCTTCACTCTATGCCGAGCTCGTTCCAAACGAAAGTGTCTTTGGAGCCTTCCATCCGAAGTTTGTCGACTTGTTTTTGGAATTCATCAATAATGGTCTGCAGCTTAGCTGGGGTTCTGCCACTTGTTATCGTAGTTTTCAAAAGGAGTTTCTGGGCCAGCAACATTTTCCTCGTCTTGCCCCTGCAACCTTTGCCTCTGAGTATTCTTTGACCACGGCTGGACTTCTGAGCTTTTTATCTCTTTGTATTATAACCCCTTTGTCCATTAATACAAATTATTCATGTTTAACAAACACATTTTTGGTGGATCAACACCCCGTTTTAAATGATGCGAATGATAAAAACATAATAAAAGAAGACAAAAAATAAAAGAGTTAGTGAGGTAAATCAAAACAATAATAAAAATGAAAAAAAATCCTACCCCACATGATATCTACCCCACATGCTTTAATTCCTGCCCGGACATGATCTCTATCCCGCATGCTAATTTCAAACAAATCCTAACCGCATATTTGTCTAGTTCGCATGCTTTGAACAGAAAATAAAGTAGGAAATAAAACATCCTAGGGTTTGGAATGAGGTTTTGGGGCGGGCTCTAATTCCCTGTACTCTCCCGGTTTAGGTTCTAAAAACGGTACTCGAGTTCTCCTTGCCGGTGCCCCCTTGGGCTTACCAGACCCTTAGTCCTAAACCCATCACAGGCTTGTGTGGACTAAGTTAAACTCGAGAGGACACATTCCCTTATGCCCATACGGAGAATAAATTCACACGAAGGCATAAGGTATATGAATCCCGAAGGCTACTTGCTAGGCATATGCGGTGAATAAATTCACACGAATGCGTCGCTTTCACCCCCACTTAAAATGGGTTCGGAGCTCGGGTTTAGAGCTAGAGATGGAAGCTTTTAAAAAATCTGAAATCATTGAAAAAATGTTAGTACAACTATTTATTTGAAAAATAATCAAAGGTAAATAATCTGAACCGAATAAATAAATTAAAATTTAAACTTACAATTTTCGCATAAAAAGACAACCAGAAATTAATTCTGGCCTGACTCACTTACCTGTCCCCAGCGGAGTCGCCAAGCTGTCGCAACCGTCTTTCGGTTGGGCCCCGGAATTGGGCTTCGACTTAGGTAAATGGATTGATTGGAGTCGCCACCGACCACTTTAAAACGAATTCAGGTGGGTCGGACACCATCTTACCTGATCTACGTTGTACCAAAAACGTGTCGGGCTCGGGAGTCGGTTACGATCAAGGAAGGATTAGCACCCTTGAATCGCCCTTTCGGTACCAATTAATTTGTCGGTTGTCTTTATAGCAAAAACTAGACATTTAAATTAAAATTTAAAAAATTCGATTCAAATTACTTACCTTTGATTTGTTGGAATTTATCTACAAAATTAAAAATGTTAGTGAAGACAAATGAAAGAAATTTTTAATAAAAATAGATATAAAAAATATTAAATAAAAATGAAATAAAGAAATAGTAAGAGGTAAATAATAATAAATATAAAAAAGATAAAAACAAATGTACGAAATTGGAAATAAAAAATGAAAAGAAATGAATAAATAAATAAAAGGGACCAATTTGAAAGGAAATGTAATTAGGGGACAATATTCGAATTAAATGGGTGAACGTAAATTGAAACAAAATACGGGGGACCCGAAACGGGATTAACCCGCAGATAAAAATGCAAAACCCCCCCCCTCTTCAAAACGACGTCGCATGGGGGGGTATATATCTACCAAAAACGGCCCAGAACCCCTCCCCTGTTCTCATTTCTCACCCGGGTCTCTCTCTCAAACGAGAGAACTGGAACTCTCTCTGGCCTCTCTCCTCAAGGCGATTTCCGGCCGCCCCTCCGGTGGCCCCTCGTTGCTCCGACCGCCGTCTCGGCCGCCGCTCGCGTCGGCCGAAAAACCAAGACTCACCCCAAACGCTCGTCTCACTGTCCCCAACCCGAAACTGAAACCTAAACACTCAAGAAATCCCCCCACCGGCGTAGATCTACGCTTAAAGCTTCGTCTTTTGCTTTTCTCGTCGGTGGCTTTTCGACTTCCAGCGTGATCTGGTTATTTACTAGTTTTGCTCTCCTTGCATGTGGGTTTTGAAATGTTTTTTTTTTTGTTTCGTCTTTGGTTGGTTTCGTAGTTTTTCGTGGGTACTGTTGTTGTTGGCTTTCTGTGGGTTATGTGTGGTGGTTGATGTTTACCGTGTTCGGTATTGTGGATTCTCTGTCTCGGTTTACTGTTTCTGTTGATGATCTTTGTTCTCTGTTTGGGTATTGATGATGTCCTCCCCCCCGTGGGTACCGTCGATTTGGTATTTATAGGCCTTCATCGGCCGTTTTCCTGTTCCGAAATACGGGGCTGGTGGCCGTTGAGGGTTGACCGGCTAAAACGGGATGGGTCAGTCCCGATTTAGACGGGGCTGGTTGCTTCGTGATCGGATTTTGGCCGGTTTTCTCGCCTGGCTGTGCGTGCCTTGTTCCTCCCTCGTGCGGCGCAATGCTTGACCGAGTAAACCCTAACTTGTAGGGTTTGGGCTGGTTCAGGCCCCAAACATATTGGACCCGAACAGTGGACTTCTCACCCAATCTTTGGACCTGGACCATAAACAGAATAAATGAAATTAAATGAATAAAGTGAATAAAATGAAAAGAAATAATACTAATAATAATATAGACTATATAATATATATATCACAAAAAATATTTTTTAAACTATATATTATATTTAAAAATGTTTTCAAAACTATATACCATATAGTTTTCAAAAATGATTTTTAAAAATATTATATGAGTTTTCCAAAATATTTTAAAACTATATATTATATAAAATTTTCAAAAATGTTTTTATTTTAAACTATACATTATATTTTTAAAATGATTTTCAAAAATATATGTTATATAATTTTCAAAATGTTTTTAAAACTTATATATTGTATATAAGTTTTCAAAAACGTTTTTTAAAAAAAAACTATATTATATATATTTTCAGAAACCATTTTTTGTAAACTATATGTTATATTTTTCAAAAACACTTTAAAAAATTATACTATATTATCGTATATATGCCTATAATAAATAAAAATAAAAACTCAAATTCGGGTGAAAATGAGTGTCTACAACTTGTATAAAATTTTATGTTGTTATATATATATATATATATATATATATATATATATATATATTAACTTTTAAAAATATTTCTGGATCTGCTACCGAAGATGTAGTAGCCTACAAATAATACAAGCATGATTTAGGGTTCTCAAACTATTCTCCGAGCATTGATAGTGATATATCAAAGAATTTCAGCGTGCCTAGGGTTATAAGAACACCTAACCCCAACAAACAAAAAGAAAAAACAAGGATGATTATTCAAAGAATATCAAAATTCCACTTAAAAGATATTGATTTTATTATTTTTATTTTATAATGAGTCAAATGATAAGAACAGAATAAACGACATAGCAAATGTAAAGACTTTTTGTAATAAAAAAAATCCTAATTTATTTATTAATTATTCATTTAAAACATTGGCTGTATGGTCCATTATGTGTGTCCCAAAGGATGGTATTTTTCAGTGGACCAAAGGGTGATGACTTCTCTCAAGTTCTGTAGTCTTTCATTTTTGGTGCTTTACACAATTTCCCTGAATGCGCGGCAACTTGCTTGATTCACTGAATATCAACACACCATCGACAATCGTTCAGTTGATTAATAGCTAATAGATATATGGTTTTGAGGACTATTTGTTCAAAGCTTGGTGGTAAGTTATGTGATTTCGTAGTCGTAAGTGTTTCTTTGATTGTATACTGTGCTTTGGTTTTGGATGTTTAGTTGTTGTTAAGATGTGTTTTGATGGTGTTTAGTGTGTTTCACTGTCTTGTAACATCTACTTAACCGTGCATATTCTTTTTATATGAACAAGTTTAGAAAGATTTTTAATAAGACACATAACGTATATCTTAAGCATTAATAAATAATCTTGTTGAGAAAATATATATATATATATATATGATGTCATATTCATCAAGAACATTATTTATATTTCTACAATTTACTGAAAATGGATATAAAGCCAATTTATAAGTCTTTCGATTCTTGGATGTTGATATGACATGATGTCGTCAACTTTTAATCCTTCTTCAACTTGCTTTCTAGATCATCTCGTCGGCAAAACCAAAAGGAGCCAATCTATTGGCCAGAGATGGTTACGGGCCACATCAGATTTTTAATTTAATCAAACTTAATTAAAATAATATATTTTTATATGTTGTCTTACTTTATTCAAATTTAATTTTTTTTATCAGACTCAAATTTTAAAATATTATATATATACACACAGTTTTATCATACTCAATTTTTAAGATAGAAATTATTATCTTCTATTTTTTTGTTGATATATAAAGGCAAGTGAATAATTTGTGATCCTTATAAAATGTAATTATAGTGGATTATTTAGTTATTGTATCTTGAGAGACAAACGGCTAATGATCTCAAATACTATAGAAGTAGCTAAAATTATATCTTAAAAAAATTATGTAACTACATGCCTTAATTTGTTTTCAATCCGTCAATCCGAAATTATGTTCTTCTCAATTCTTTTAATAAGATATTTTTTATTTTTATTTTTATTTTTCGTCTCATGTTATATTTATAATCGTACGTGCTTTATAATTCTTTAGCTGATTTCTTGATAGAGAGCCATTGCCCAAAGATAAAGATTTGGATCTCAAGATTTTGTAAAACCCTACATGGTTATCCAATTAATTCGTAAAACCTCACGTTATTTTCCAGTTGTCTTAAAAAAAATGGGTCAATAATTGAAGAATGTCGACCAAACAAAGACATACACTTACACAACATCATTATTATTATATTATAGAATTTCACTCACTGATGCAAACATCCATTTGTTTTATTAAAAATTTCTTTTTGATTTAGTCAGTATATACATTTAACTTTATATTAAACTTTTATTATTTTCTCTAAAATATTTGAGATTTGTGTAATAATGTCCTTGCATTTGAAATTTGAAAAAAAATAGTATAACTTAAAGAGGTTTTTCTTAATAGTGTGGATGATTATAACATAATATATGTTCAGACGATCTTTCTTAGTCATTGACAATTTATACACATCTTGTAGGTATAGCTGCTCGAACTCAAAATTTTTAAGGAGAGCAACACTCCTTCTAGTACTGAGGCCGCTCAATAATAAATTAACCAGAAACGGAAAAGGAATAATATTTTTGTAACATACAATACATTATAAACTTGTTTATTTATTGGATGTTTAACTGAAATTAAGGTACACAAATTAAGGATTAGAAGGCGAGAAGCCTTGTTTCCTACAAGCAAAACAAATATATAAATAGCACTTCATGAATGATTCTGGCATACCAAAAGTCCAAACTAAACACACCCAAGAAAAGACAAACATTGCTGGAAATAGAGTGGAATTGAGCCTAATAAGCACATTTGTAACCGGCAGGCAGTTTCTTTCCACAGGAGTTGAGCAGCAAGGACAATGAAACGGGAACATTGAGGTTAGTCCCCAACACATTGGCCTTGATTGCGGTGCAGAGGCAAACTGCAGCATCGAGATCGGCCAACCCCGAAATAAGAGAGCAGCATTCGGTCCTTGACGAGCTCCCGACGACAACGTGCCCTAATCCGCCCAACAAATCAGCACAGACACCCAGTTTGAGTGTGTCTTTAGGGCAAGTGGCTGATTTTTTCGGCCCCGAGGGTGGAACCTTAGGGGAAGGCTTGGGGCTCTTGTGTGGTGGTGGTGGGCATGGCACGTAGGTCGAGCTGACCAAAGTGAAGAACAACATGTTCAGGGCAACAAGAAGTGCTGCCGATGCAACAGTGGTCGAAGCCATGTTTCACAACAACGCAGTGATATACTATGAGATTGTTGGTGTGATGAAACGGTGAAGCAGGGCCAAGGCTTTTATAGGCGAATTAAGGACTGGTTTTTCAGTGGTTTTGAGTGAAAATATCGCATGTGGGCACGCTGAGTTGGGGTACAACCTGGCAGATCACAAGACATGCAGGGATAAGCCTAAAAAATCTGATTAAAAACTATGGATTTCTCTAAGTTGTCAATTATTCACCTTCACAAATTAGAATAAATCATACTATAAATTTAAAAGACATCAATGAAAAAAATATAAACTCTTCTTGTTTTCTTGTATACTAGTTGATATGCCACTTGTAAATCATAATCTGAACACTAGACTTCATCGGTCGTGTAAACTCGATCTATTCTAGTGTTGTGTATTCTATATATAGGATTTAAGAATTTATGGTTTAGACAATATATCGAACAATTACTCTATATAAATGTATATGTATATATAAATACAAAAATGGAAAAAGGAGAAACAGTTGTGGAGCCATGAATGAATGGAAAGGACAAGTAGAGATAAGTGGACACATGTGAATGGTGATGAGGAAGTACTGTCTCTTAGCTTTCATGGTGAACTGGAAAAAACCCAGACCCATGGATGTGGATTTGCAGATGTTAATAGAGCACATGGCCCCCTAATTATGACTTCATTTACCCACTTCCCCTCAAGCTTTCATCAAGCCATTATTACTGGTCACTTTGTTCTTTTAGTAGATTCATTAATTATTTTCTTTTGAGCTTCCTGTTTTTTCCCCCGGGAAACTCCAACTGAAACCGTATGTCGGGGAAACATCCTTTCCCTCGACTAGGGACTTGTAACCTACTGTCTACTCATACTTTTAATATTAACAAAATAATTGTTGTGCTAAAAATCTCCAGGTATAGAGAAAGTGAACCAACCTTTTGTGTTTGTTTCAAATTAATTATTTACTGTAAATATGAGTTTGAATTAAAAAATGAGTATTAAATTGAACTAAAAACTCAAATTCATACATGTAATTGGAAAAAAAGTTTTAAATATTAAATGAAAATTAAAATCAAATTCAAGTACTTAATTGAATAAGAGATTGAAATACCAAATGTTGTCTTAATTAATTAAAGTTGTAAGAAGATTTTGTGTTTACAGTTTAATTATATTATAATCAAAGCACATGTTGTAATTATTTCAGTTAAAGGGGTTTGAATTATCGATTCTTAAGACTAACAAATCCTAAACTTTCCGATTCAGCTTAGCTACATTCACATTGAACTGAGGTAAAGTTGATGAAGAGTTCTCGATTCCTTCATTGCTAAAATATTAAAATTACGGTCATATATGAAACTAGCTTTAGAGATCTTATTAATAAATAGATAAGGAAACAACAAAAAACATAGTTAATACAAGTCTTTTCATGTCCCTTAGAGATACAGAAATCTCTAAGAATGACATTTGAAGAAAAGTATTAGACTTATTCGGCATCAATTCCCACTAGAAAAACATAACAACAAACTTACAAATGAAAACACTGATTTACTAGAAATACTGAAAACCATAAAAACGACGATAGTGAAAACTGACAATTTAGCATTGGAAGTCAGTACTCCTTCCGCAAACGTTGAGAAGCAAGCTGAGTGAAACTGGGATATTAAGGTTCAGGCCCAACACGTTAGCTCTGAGTGCAGTGCATAGGCAAACGGCAGCTTCGAGATCGGCCAGGCCTTGGAGAAGGGAGCAGCATGGTTTCACCGGGGGTGAACCAATTACCACATTGACCAAGTTAAGCACATTGGCACAAACACCTAATTTAAGGGCATCCCTGGGGCATTTTCCTCTTGCAGATGGGGTGGGGTTCGGCCTCGGCCTCGGCCTTGGGTTAGGGTTAGGGTTGGTGGAAGGGCAGGAGTTGCAAGCACTGCCAAGGGAAAAGAAGAGAATGTTGAGTGCCAAGAAGAGGGCCATGGAAGCTGATCTTTTTGAGGCCATTTTGATCTTCTAAAACCCTACTTGGCTTGCTTGTTCTTAGAGCTAAAAGTAGGAGTGTTTGAGGATGGGAAATATGGAGGGAAGGGAGAAGGGGTTTTAAAGTGTTTTGAAGGGGCTAGTGGGTTATTTTTATAATGATAAATTATTCAATCAAATTGAGCTGGAAGGTGAAGTTTGGACATTTGTGATTGCGAGGTGGAAATTATATTATAGCACATTGCCATGTTCCCATTGCTCATATAGGATCAGCCTACAGATCTGCCTTAGCATGAACTATATGATTTGCAGAATTGTTCCATCTATGTAATAACTGAAACCAGTAAAGAATATCAATCTGGGCAATTAATTATCTTTGTGCAAGTATAAAATTTAACTTCGAATCCATTTTCTGACGTGGGAAGTGGATGAATGATTAATGAACTTAACAAGTATGCCCGAGTATGAAAGAAAAGTAACTAGTTGAACAATATAACAAGGAGAGAGAAATATCTTACGCTAATTCTGAGAATTCGGACTCAATAATTCAGATTTCATATTTGAGTTAATTGCTGCTGTTCCAAATAGGATGATAATTGCAACTTACAGACGGCCGAGTAAAGGACAAAATGGATTACAGATTCATAATTAATCTGTATTTTGTCAAAACATCGATCATGTTCTTCCATTATCTTCTACAAAATTCATTGAGATTTATTCACATAAGACGTTAAATATGAAGCTTATGAGAAAGCGACATGTGGTGGAGACAGAGCAGTTTGAGAAGCGTCCTTGATAATAATTCTATAATTACTGCTTACAAAATACAAACAATTTTTTGTCGGGATATGGCATTTTGTTAAGTCTTGAGTTGTTGACGTGTGGAAGTATTCCAGCTGGACAGGACTGTAGTATCACGGGCGAGCTTAGAACCTCCTATTCCATAACCTCATATACGCAATAAAAAAATTAGTATGATTCCTGTGTTTAATATGTAGAAGCTAGAGGTTCCAACTTTTGAATATGAAATACTTTAATTTGTTCAAATATCTGAATCCAAAACCAAATCTTTTTTCTGTAGATCACTAGCGAGCAGTCAACGGCCCAATATTCACGTAGATTAAACGAAGAATTTCGGTTGCTTTGAAAATGAGTTGCCATAGCAGGCACTAAATCTTCGAGCAGCGCCACCAAAGTAAACGCCGATTAGATCAAGAATTCTGGTTCCGGAAATGTTGACTCCTCCACCTTCATAATTACAAACCCTTGATTTAGACCATTAGCACGCATTACACCCCTCTTTTCACATTATAATCCCGTTAATATTTTTGTTAGGGTTTTAATGAGATGAGATAGATTATAAGTTTGATTCTGTTAAATCTCTATCAACACTTAAATTGAATAGACTCGGTTTAAGTTCTTAACGAATCAAAATAAACTACTTGATATCCAATTCGAAAAGTTCACGAGCAACTCAAGAAAATAATATATTAAAAATTTAAATTAAATTATTAAGAATATTTTTTTGAATGAAAATGAGTATTTTTAATTAAATCATTAATAATATATTTTTTTACATGTAATATACAATTTTTATGCACTTAAAATTTATATTCGGGTTCGAGTTTTAATCGAATTAAGTCTAAAAATGTTTAAAGTTCAAGTTTTTTAACTCGAGTTGAGCATTAGTTTTTTATTTCGAGATCGAGTAGAGCTTAACAATTTCAAGCTCATGAGCTTTCGAGTCGAGCTCAACTTTAAACTTTTCGAGTTTAACAATACTCGAACTTAACTCAACTCATTATAAACTCTAATTGTTAATAACAATGAGTCTTATCTTGATGTTGATTGATATTATTATTTTGTAATTTAAAAGTGATAAATTCTAACATATTTAAGCATGTTTAAAAGTGATGTTAATATGCAGGGGTATGAGTTTTTTAATAAGAATAATTTTACCTTTGTAGCATGTTTTTTATCTTTTTTATCGGTCGTTTGGTCGTTCTTTTTATTTTATGTTTTCTCATAGTTGGATTTGACGACGCCACGACTGATCAAGATGGTGCTTATTTATAATCTAATTGATCTTCCCTACTATAGACCCTCATATTGAATTTGGATGCATGATTTTTTTGTTCGTGGATAGTTTCTCACGACACTCAACTCTGATCGGCGGTTCTCGACGATCTTTCAATAGTTTAATCCCCTCTTGTGATTCGTTTGCCGATCCAATCAGATTTGCTTGTATTTATTTTTTGTTCAAGTCTTTTTGTTAGGTTTTTAACTTTATCCATATATGTCCTTACATGGTTTAGGTTTGTAATCTTATCCATATATTTAGTTTATGATGATAATCGTAAACCTTTATTTTATTTTTTAATAGTACTATTTGCTTCCATTAAAAAAACACTATACCCTCAATTTAGTCATTGAATAGACAAAAGCCATGTTGTCAACTTCCGTATTGAGAAGCAAACAGCAACGAACAAGTTGCCAATATTGGCAGACTTGACTTAGAGTACACACTAGTTGTCTCTGGACCAGACGCTGAACAAGATATTTTAATTCGAATGAATTTAATTAAATTCAAATTAAAATTGAATAATAAAATCTTTTATTTAAATTAAATTATAATCTGTAAATATTTTATAATATATTAATGATAAGAATAAATTATCGGCTCAAATTTATTTTGGGCCAATACGTGAAATTTCAGAATTGGATTGCAATATAATTCGACTCATAGAGAACTCTAAACGAATAAATATTTTTTTAACTTTATTCATCATATCTATATATAAATATAGATATAAAACATATGTACTTAGAAAAAGAAAATAAAGAATCGAAATAGGGACCGAAACAAAACTAAGGATGCCCTCAGACCAAGCACCCGGACCAGGCTCCAAAAAAGGAAGACAAGCACTCCAAGAACATGCAACTAAGAATTAACCACCGCAATGCTTAACAACAAATCAGAACCCAAAATACACCACACCATCTTTTAAGGGCAGCTATACAGACAATCAATAACAAAACCTTCATCCAACCCCAACTGTTTGGCCCTTCACCATCAAAACAACAACAATGAGGCCAATAGCACGCACTACACCCACTCAACACAACAATTACTCAGCTACAGATGGAAATCAACTATGAAGCACACAAAAACAAAAACAAAACAGCACCCCATACTTGTAATTCAATGAAACACTCAAAACCTACGCAGGAAGATAAATGCAGCAAAACATTAACAGTATAATAATATATATAGTTAGGTTTTTAAGAGATTATGGAACTTAACTTTTATTTCTTATCCAATTTTCGATGACAATAAATTTCCTCCTTTTTAAAAAAAAAAGCTTTGCATGGTTTTATAAATCAAAAAAAAATTCAAAACAGACGACTATATAGGTCTCGTTAAAAAACCTTCCTATACCTGAATGGAGAAAAAAAAGTGTACTATATTGAAGTGAGGAGCTAAAAAACCATAAGCCAACACAAGACAGGCACTAATGCCCTTCTGTTGAAACAAGAAACAACAAAACTCCAACGAAAAACAGGCACTAAATTTCCTCTCTTCTAACTATGATAATTTTTTTTCTAGAATTTCCACGTAACATATATGTTCTGTTGGAGTCAAACTCACTTATAAAGAAGAGGGTAGAAAGCTTAGGTGGTCCTATAAAATATCCTATAAAATATTATAAAATGGCATCAACTTTTGGAAACATGCTAATGCTTAAGAACAAAGAACAAAGGACAAAGGAAATAACGTGGCAAGCAATCATGGAAAACTAAAGTGTCGGCAAAAATTTTTTAATAAAAGAAAATGAAGACAAACAAATACATTCATCATGTAAGGCGACAATAATGGAGAAATTGATAATCTTCTAACATTTTCAAAGTCGGTTTATTATATATATATATGTGTGTGTGTGTGTGAGCAAAGCAAGCATGTATGTGTGAGAAATGAGGAAAAGAGTGAATAATGAGTAGGGTGGGAATAGGTCAGGCCGGCCTACATGGATTTTCGGCTTGGCCTAGTCTATTTAATAAACAGATTAGGTTCGGGCTTTTTTAAAAACCTATTAATTTAAATAGGTCAGTTATAAGTTTATTATAAAGTCTTATAAGCTAATAAGCCAACCTATTAAATTAAATCGACCCATTGCAGCTGCCAGCACGCCCGAGCTCCCACGTAAAGCAACTGCACCCTGTCAGCACTCTGTCCGAAACAGTGTGCTACCGGCACGCGAATCCACCGAGCCCATTACTCTCTCCCATGCTCGCCCTGACCACGCCCATCACTTCTTTATCGTTTATTTTCTTTCATTTCTTTCAAAGGGTTTTATTTATTTGTTTAATACTAGTGGGGTGGAGTAGCAATTAAAAAGGAGGAATTTTGCCAATTACGATGAATTACCCATGATGCTTCTACTGCAACAATGTTTTATTTATTTGTTTACTATCTTTTAGACATATATTTATTTGTTTGTTTGAAGAAGAAAGAAATGATAATATAGATGGAATGAGTTTCACATTTACCTTGGTTCATCCTGTATAGATATAGAAACATAAAAAATATGCAACGACGAATGTCCATTTATCGCAATTGACCACGCCCAATTCAATAATTTTTTTCGCCATTAGCCAATCAGGTGTGTTATTTTTTTGTGTGAAGAAGGCTTTTAAAAAGGCTATCAGGCCAGGCTGAGTCAAAATAAAAGCCTTTGATAGGCTGTAGGCCAGGCTCAGGCTTTTAAAGCCTGGCCTGGCGTAGCCTATTCCCACCCCTAATAACGAGTGAGAGAAAGAAAAATAGAGAGAATTGTGAGAAAGCTTAGCAAAACTATATTGGTGAGTTTGTAAACTAACAGCAGTTAGTATTGCAGTATTGTAATATTGAGGTAGTGTAATTGTAAAATATTTTGTTTCGTATAAATAAAAAGTTCGAGTTATAAATTATCGTGAGCCCATCTACGCTTCCAACAAGTGGCCTCAAAGCTTGGTTCGAGTTCAACGTGGTGGAGAAGATAGCCAACATGATTCAACCACAAATCCCGAGATTGACAAAAACGAATTACGGAAATTGGAGCATTCAAATGAAGGCGTT